GAAAGGGGGGGGGGGGGCAAAAGGGTGGAGGGAACTGAAGTGTGGAAGGGGACAGAAGAGGCAGAAACCTGGGAGGTGGCAGAAGAGGAAGAAACTTGGGAGGGAACAGGGAAGGAAAGTACAGTACGAGGAGGGTGAACCTCTACACTTGTAATAGAGCCAGTGAGGGGAAGAACCAGGTACAGAGACAGGGAAGGTAAAATGAGGTGGAAGAAGGGAAGGAGGGGTTAAAGGACCTTTTTTTTGACTTCTGAGAAGTCGAGGGACGATTGGGAGTTGGTGTCGTACGAGATCTCGTCGATACCGAGGCTTTTGGGGGAGAACATGAAGCGAGAACAGACCGAGGCGTTGAAGTAGGGACGTCTGAGCCTAGGACAGCAAAGAATTAGATACAGGAGTGACTGTGGGAGAGGTAACCACAGAGGAGGCTGCAGAAGATGGGACCCCAGAAGTGGGTGGATGTTTTGAAACACGGGAATAAGAAACACTAGGTAGTCTCCCTTGGAGGCGGAGATAAACTGCCATGGCATAAGGGAGACCTGCCTCTGAGGTAACTGATTTCCCACTCATTTAAGTAGACTTGGCAATGGCGAGAGTACGAAGGGTGAGCCTCATGACAATTAAGGCAAGAGGGAGGTCGATTGCAAGACGTATTAGAATGGTCATCGGCACAACAGACTGGGCATTCGGCTATGGATCTGCAATATTCGCTGGATGGCCAAATCGCCAGCAATTTCTACACTGTTGCGGTGTAGGGATCGCCTTTCGAACTTGTAACCGATGTCCTGCTACAAACTGAGGATGGGAGTTCACGGCTGTCAAAAGTTAAACGAGCCACATTGCTAGGGTATCGTCTCCGCCCGCGGGCAGGAAGAACATAAGTGTCTACCTTGAGGATCGGGAGATCTTGGAGTTCCAGCTGTTCAAGAATGTCATTGCCACATTTCTGGAAATTGTGAACTATGGTATGGGGCAGAATGACTACCACTACAAGAATTGAGGGAATGATGTTTTTCATTAGTGACAGGAACAGTATCGATATGGGAAAGAAAGATCATGAGCTTGAGCAGCAGTCTGTACAGTGATGATGCGCATACCGCTCTTAAGAGCATGAAAAATATCTTTACCAACATGGCGTAGGAGTGCCTTGCCAATACTGTGGTCGAAAGATAGGCAGAGGAAGTCGGTCGTAAAGTGAAGAGTTTAGTCCATTGTGCATTCTGAAACCAAGTGTGGAAAGGGAGTGCAGGACGTGTCGATCTTTTCTAAGAATGAGAAGGTGAAGTATCAGCAGGTAATTGTCGTTGGCGTTTAGGCATGGGACCAGAGTTTGTGCGACGTGGAACGGGCCGGCGATTCGAAAATTGCCGCACCGTAGAGGGAGAGGCCGAAAGCATAGTCAAAGGAGAGCGGAGGTCAAATAAATCAAAGGAGTCAGTCGAGACCTCAGTACCTGAAGCGGGTGAGGAAACTGCACCAGCAAGAGGTACAGAGGCATGAGGAGTGTCTGAAGAGTGGTCCAAAGACGAGGCGGGGTCAGAACAGGGTGCGGTATCAAGAAGGGGCCCGGGGGTTTCAGGTTCATGGACTGGGGCTGCCATGGTTAGGTTACTTTTTTTGTTTAAGAAAAAAAAGGGGGGGGGGGGGACCGGGGAGGGATAGTTCCTAGGAGGAATGAAAGGGCCAGAAATCTCCCTCTGCGCCCAAGAGGACCTCAGCACCGCTAGTAGCGAAGATGCAGCATGGAACCCGTGCCATACCCTACCCATCATGCCAGTAAACCAGCAATCCGGGATAGCAACCTCACATCTGCCGAGCTACCTCGGACAAAAAAGAGGGCGGCCGGATATCTGCCACAAAGCATACCTCCTTTGGCCACCACCGCCGGAATCCGAAAGGTGGCTTCCAGAGATACACCCGTCACCCGAGAGACACCCAAAGCCACCCTCCGGGGTACTGGAGAGGGATCGGGACATCCCCAGGTAATCCAGATTCCACGGCAAACTACGCCACCGCCAAGAACCTCAATGGAATGGGATGGGACCCCGGTACCCTTTCCCCTACCTAGGAACTAGCGTGCCTGTGGGAAAAAATCCCATAGGCCAAAAAGGGCAAAAGGGAGGGGTGCAGAAGAGGAAAGGAAAAAGGGAGGATGGGATAGGAAGGGGAGATTGGGGGTAATTAGGTTCGGTCTGAGGAAGGAGACCGACAGGTCTAATTCCTCAGACCAAGAGCCTCTTCACCACACCAAGGAGCTTCCCCTTGAAGAGGTGAAAACTTTCAATTCCATACTACTCCCCAATTTGATATCCAATTTTTCTTTATCTAAATCACTTGATACTCTCATCACCTTACTCTTTTCTATGTTCACTTTCAACTTTCTACCTTTACACACAATTTGTCCACTAACTGTATGGTATCTAAATACCCAAGTCTTTGTACCAGTAGTGTCCAAAAGTTCCAAATTACAATAACCCACGACTAGCAACCTAGGTATCTAGTGAAAACTGGGGAGATTTGAGAGGCGTATCAAAACCATAGGGGCATTAATCCAGACAACTAAAAACCACAATTTTGAATAGTGCTCTGTGCCCTACTTATTTACCTAGCTAAACTTGTCTGAACTATATTAGAAAATGGTAAATGAACCAGAAAAACATTTGTGGACCAACAGATCTGGAGGCAGTGTTCTGTAATGCTTGTCAGCACTTCCATATGACCACCCAACAGGCTCCCAAATGCAATTTCCATTGAGTGGAGAAACTCCAGTACTACCCATGGGAGCTATACTGGAATAGGCTCTACAGTGGTCCATCTTGTCGAAGGCCCAATTTCAAAAAGGGTAAAAAAATTCATCAAAGATGAAATTGGGGTTTAGACAATCAAGGAGACAGGTGAAATAATTTCAGTTACAGGAAGGTACTCCACCTTTAAGAAAAATGCTAAAACTTTTTTTTGCATTTTTATTACAAAAATGATACTTTCACACAATCATCCATAATGAAATGGAGGACAGCAATACACAATTATGGCAGACATGAGAAGTGACTTTACTGGTTTGATAAACTCGTTAAAATTTTGCCCATACATTTGTTGGATAGACTAGGTAAATGGCAAAATTTACTGTTAATTTATAACTAAAATATCAAACCAAGAGGGCATGATAAATGAAAAATTTACCCTACCTCAAATTAGACCAGACACTTAATAGAACAAAGTACTCTGAACAGAACTAGCCACTATTACAACTAGCCATTTTGTACCAATCCCAGGTTTCAAAGCTCATCATGCATTTCTTCCACCTCTCCTGCATCTTCCTCCTCTTCATCAAGCAACTGCTCCTCGTCATCTTCCGGCTCTTCAAATTCTGGCTCTTCTTCCACTGGCTCATCCAAAGGTATTCCCAGTGATTGGCGCATCATTTCCTCTACAGACTTTGAAAAAGTAACTGTATCCTTCAGCATGTAACCAGATCTTAGCGTAGCTGGAATAGATTCAGTATTGCAAGATGAATTTTGTGAATGCTCAGAACTGACTATTATTTGGAACTCGGTAAAACATTAACAAAAGCTTACAAAATACTGTAAAATACCTACTAATAAAAGGTTTAAGGCATGAAAATTTACCATTCAAGCTTTAAAGTGAATTACCTGTATGATACATCATTGTAGCTATGTTCTTTGCTGTAGCATCTGCTGGATCATCTTCAATACGTTTTAAGAGTTCCTTAATCAGTGGGTGACGAGGATTTACCTCTAACGTCTTCTTTTGGCTAAGATAATAACTGAAAGAAAATGTTGATAATCAAATGTGCATGAAATGTCAAATTAGGAATGGTTATATTTGGCACTAAATCTTAATGCACTAATCCCTTATGGGCCAATGCTGTTAACCAAGATTTACAGAATTAGGACAAGCTAACCATTCTTAGCATTATGAACAAACTTTGGAATTCAATAACCTGTCCAGAACAATGTACATAAATCACATCTGAAACTTTCATGTCAAACAGTTCAGGTACTACATTTATGAAAGTTTTATATCCAAAAGTTACCCAAGAGAAAATTAGGTCAAATTAGTAGAAATTTTGCACTAATTTCACTGTGGTTAAGGAAAATAGACAGTTAAGCAACTAAGGTATTCAACAAGTTTGTATATTGCTAACCAAAATATGGTTTTTAGAGTCCTGTAACTAGTTATGCAATACTAACAGTGTTACAGGAAGTAAATTCATCCTTTACTTAATGGGTTCAAAGTTTCTGGCCTTAATACTGTTTAGGTTCTTAAATGGGAGCCTCTCCTTTGATCAAACCCAACTGCCCCTCGTTCTACACGTGTTGTACGGTCCTTTGGGCCTGGTACTTGCCATGATTACAAAGGTTTGGTCTAGTCACTACTGCATATTCCAATTCAGGCTTAATACTGTGAAAAGATATTCATACCTAAAGTCAAATTTTTGAAAATGCAGTAGTGGGGAGCCCCTTAAATGCATAGACAACTAGAAGAGGTCCGAAGTGCTACAAAATGATTACCAGAATCTAAAGCTTTATGATGGGCTTTAAGCAATATGCCCATGCTGGCTGATAAAGGGGACATTTGGAATTTCATATTAAACAGACCAATTAATTACTTACTCCCTCTGGACATCACTGCTTTTGGCGTGTGTTTGAGATGTCACAATACGTTGCATGTTTGCTGTCCAACCGAATTTTGATGAAACTAATGCACACGGTGACTCCTGTCAGCCTCTCCAACTTCTGCTTTCACAATCTAGACGAAAAATGTCAAATATGCAACTTACCTTAGGTTTCCATCACATGGTTTAAACAACTGGTTACCAGTCTTACCTTCATTTTTTATAGCAATCCATACTTTTTTTACAAGCCTTAAAAAGGGTTAACCAAGATCCATGCAATACTACAGAAGAAAGCACCACCCAGATAATGTGAACTTACTCCCTATGAGTATCATGAGTCTTCTGATGAGCATTAGATATAGCCACCGCTCCATATTTCTGTCCAGCCAAAGCTTCCCCTAGAGCACATGGGGAGTCAAAT